AATATCACGCAAACACATAATACAACATCTGCATGCACAATAACACACAAACACATATTGCAATATATGCATGCATAATATCATACAAACACATGATACAACATGTGCGTGCATAATATCACACAAACACATAATGCAACATGTGCTTGCAGAATATCATACAAACACATAATACAACATATGCGTGCATAATATCATACAAACACATAATACACTATATGCGTGCATAATTTCATACAAACACATAATACACTATATGCGTGCAAAATATCATACAAACACATAATACAAATGTTGCATGCAGAATATCATACAAACACATAATACAACATATGCGTGCAGAATATCATACAAACACATAATACAACATTTACATGCAGAATATCATACAAACACATAATACAACATTTGCGTGCAGAATATCACACAAACACATAATGCAACATATGCGTGCAGAATATCACACAAACACATAATGCAATATATGCATGCATAATATCACACAAACATATAATGCAATATATGCATGCATAATATCATACAAACACATAATACAAGATATGCTTGCAGAATATCACACAAACACATAATGCAACATATGAGTGCAGAATATCAACAAACACATAATACAAGATATGCTTGCAGAATATCACACAAACACATAATGCAACATATGAGTGCAGAATATCAACAAACACATAATACAACATATGCGTGCAGAATATCATACAAACACATAATACACTATATGCGTGCAGAATATCACGCAAACACATAATACAATACATGCTTGCAGAATATCTTACAAACACATAATACAACATATGTGTGCAGAATATCACACAAACTTCTAATACAAAACATGCGTGCAGAATATCACGCAAACGCATGCACGCGTATATATGTGTGTGTATATATATTTTATACATATATATATATATATATATATATATATATATATATATATATATATATATATATATATATATATATTTATTTATTTATTATATTATACATATATATATATATATATATATATATGTATGTGTGTGTGTGTGTGTGTGTGTAGTAGGGTGGAAGCGACGAAGACTACAGTACAACAGATTAAAGGTCTTTGAGAGGTTTATCCTGGTTTGAAAATGCCAACTGGCAAATAGGGTAAACATTGGCAGTTAATAGATTTGACCGGAAGATGGAGAAAAATCAGCCCACGGGGTATTTAAACGGCCGACTGATTTATTTGGCCCTTCTCCTATCTGGTAGCCGCTTCGGCTTGTTACGGTCAAAACGCCCTGTTGTCGTTGTCGACTGCACTTGGTCGCAACGTACAAAATGTACAGGTGTGTCAGATCGAATGGCTGGGCGTCGCTAGATTTGGCTCGGCTCAGGGTACGTTTCCTTTGGTTAGATTTAATATTAATTGTCATTAACATTCTTATCAAGAAATAGTTAAATGGTAGATTGCTGTATGTTTGAGGTTTTGTTTCAGCACGTGGTCGTTTATGTCGTAACTTTTGTCCATGCTGATGTGAAGTTCAATAAAATTATGTTCAACGTTGTATTCATAGTTGCAGTTGTTTCCTTCAGCTTAGGACTAGTAGTTAGTGTGCTTAGTAGTTTTCTAATTTAGTTTATTTGTTACCTGGACTATATTAGACTTTACACAGAAGATCTCTTGCCTGGACTAGAATATTATTGTTTCTAGCCCCCACCTAAACGAACTAACTATTTTCCTCTTTTTTTTAGTACCGTAGGCTTTCTCCCCTGGTACCACTATATATATATATATATATAAGGGCCCGCAGCTATATATATATACATATATATATATATATATATAAATATATATTTATATATATAATTTTACGCAAAAATTCAATGCACATGCATGCATACCCCATGTATACACACTCATGCATAATACAGCCCTAATATAAATATACACATACGTAAAGTTAGTTGCGTATCCTTTAAGGACGTTGCAGAACCAACTCCAGCATTTTTTTGGCTACTGTGGTTTTTCTAGGCAAGTTAATGTCCAATAGTTTGTCATTTCTTTATAAGCGGTCGGCTTCTCGATACCACTATCAAAACCAAAGCAAGGCCCACAGTTGGAATAGAACCCGACACCCCAGCAATACGAAGCGCGTTCGCCACGCCTAAGCCACAGAACGCACATACGTACACACAAGCACTCATTTGTACACACTCATTAGTAAGCATATTGTATATCACGCAGCTTGTCGAGGGTGACTACATCGGTTCTTCTTCTTCTTCTTCTTCTTCTTCTTCTGCTGCTGCTGCTTCAGCATTCCGAGCCCTTTTGGTTCATTGCTGCAAATGTCACCCGCCTCCACTCTTCTCTCTGGTTGGCCTTCTCTTTCCAGTTGATGACACCAAGTGTTTGCAGAACTACATCGGTTCTGCGATGGTTTAATATGTTTCCTTGGCTGTCTACATAGTGCTTTTTTTTTTTTAAAAAAAAAACTTTATGTCAGTCTCACCATGGTTGTGGATTCACAGTTATAACTAGGTTCTAGCAAATACCTTTTATCTCTCTTAGCGATTCCAGTATATCAGCCTGGTCCATGGCTAGTCAGCCCTCCACATGAAGCTGTAAAATGGTTAGTGCCTTGTTGGAGAGCGTGTACAGTTCGGAGGAGCAGATGGATCACCACAGTCTGGTGTGTTTAATGCAGGGGGGAGTGACAAGAGGTTCTGGCAGATGCTCGAGGCTCAGAGGAAAGGCAAGACGGACGTTTCATCAGAATGCTATTGGCACCATTAGTTTCGGAACTCTTCGCTTGCGGCTAAAGTTGGGGACAGAGCGTTTATGGGATTTCCCCGAGTGCTGTGATGTCAGTTCTTGAATTAAATCAAATCAAATGAAGCTGTAAGATGCCAATGACATCTCACCAAAATAATTGTAAATTACACAGGATAAAAACTAAGTTGCGTATTTTTAATTATAATGTTATTTAAAGGGAGCTGTCATGGTTTGGCGGTTACACGCTCACCTGCGGATCAGAAAGTCGTGGGTTTGGTCCCTGATGGGGGCGGACTTTTTTCAAAAATGACCTCGGCTCCCAGGTTGACACAGCCTTGAGTGGGTACCAGGTGCAGTCTTGGGAAGTAAAGGCGGCTGGCGGGATGCCGACCGCATCACCCACCCAGTGCCGTTTCGTCTAAAAAATATAGGTCTAGCCCTATATACCCAATACGCTTGAAAGATGTAGAAAGGGGTCCTTTACCTTACTTAATGTTATTTCATCTGTAATATGCCGCCGACATTTGGAGAACCAGTAAAGACAACTGGGGTGGTGGTTGGGGGGGGGGCGGATTAAAAATATTCAAAAACAAACAAAGAATTAAATTAAGAAATATTAAATAGGGTAAATTCGCGGAAATAAAGGTAACTAAAGGCTGTAAAGTGGAAAACAAGCGGATTGAGGAAAATAAAAAGAACTTCTATGAGAAAAATACGGAGACAAACATTGATGAGAGAGGTCAACGTGTTTTACTAGATTTAATCCATAATACTCGCGAAAATATAAAAAAAAATGAAGATGACGGAATGAAAGTGATAGGCAGCAAAGGCACAATGTTTTGATGATAATAAATAAATGAATAATAATAACATTACAAAAAAGGCAATGCTGCACAACAGCTTACACACTTGCCTTTAGGTCAGACAAGTATACGTCTAAATCCCTAGAGTTTATATATGTAGGGAAATATAATGTTCTACCTGCAATAATCATTTCCAGGCAATCATCGTTAGTTATTCTGCCAATCCAAGGTATTCGCAAAATTTTTTTCAAGAAGCACATCCCAGTTGCCTCTAAGCTCTTCCTAATATATATTTGCACTACCGTATGCGCTCTGTCTCCATTTTCAGCAGCAAGCCAAGAGTTATAATTCCTATGATACCAGTATCTGTCCGAGTGTACATTCGTCTCGCCTTTCCCTTGAGTGATAAGCGTCGGCCAGATCCCCCGGTGACTCATCGCAGCGTCATTCTCCTCAGACCGTAATGACCTGCTTGTGCCTCTGAAATTTTCACTCGCTCCCAAAGAGCCCTCACAAAATCTAGTTTGTCATACATTATTTCACCACCAAGTAATGGTAAACCGGCAGGTCTATCTGTCTGCTCTTTTCCCAGCACACCAGCATCACCTAGAGAAAACAACCAAAGGACACTAACTACATGGGACCTCTGAAGCGAAGCCTGCCACTCTGCACGAAGCATGCCTGCTGAAAGATAACCAACAAAAGGGTACAGGGTCACGAATCCTAAAATTATAGAGAAGACTGCAACAAGACTACCCCTCCTCCACCCCACCTGCCCCCCCCCCCCCCCTGGCGATACATTATCATCAATCAGTAGGTCCTTCATGGAAAGTAACTCTCCTTACCACACACCTGAAAGTCTCTCTTTCCCTAGCCATTTCTCCGCCCCTTTGTGTTTTGATGGCTAGTACATCGATAATGTTTTGTACCCACTTTCACAGAGGTAGGCCATGTGTCTCGTTGTCTGGAAACTGTGCCCTTCATCGCCCCCTCCCCTTGTTTTTCATGATGCAAACAACTCAAGAAAAACACAAATATAATGTCAGTCAGTTAGTCGATGTTCGTAATTGCTCCGTTTCCGTGCCATTAGAAATCCCACAAAATGTCCCTCATTTTCCAGTTTGAAAAACTTGAGAAAAGCATAGCAGAGAAGCACATAGTCTTGAAGCTTGCACAAAGTGAATGCATAAGGCATCTGGCAGATGTGCTGCTAATAACAGTCATCCACAAGAACTGCGGCCCAATAGTGATGCATGCATCGTGAAAATCGGCAATAAGTACACGTCATTCCGGAGACGAAAAGTGAAATAATGACACTTGTAACCGGATGACAACAAATGAAGACTTACTGGCATGGCAAACTGGCACTTGGAACCTAAGAGGCTTGGGTGCCTGTGACACTGGCTTGTCTTTATAAAACATGATATATTTCATATTTCAGTGTTAGTTGACCTAAACATTTTAAAACACTCTCGGCGAAAGTTGCTGTCCCACAAACTATAAATAATCGGATTTACTGCACTGTTTATGAAGTAACTCCTCAGAAGCACATTGTAGATCATACAGCCTTCTAATGATAAATTGTTAAATATTCGTGGTGAAAGGAATTCAACAAATTTCAATGATAAATGGGGAAGATAACCAAGAATATAAAAGGCACTAAGGAGAACTAACATGGTGGTTGTTTTGCCAGTAGGCCTTTTGCATGCTGCATAACCTCCAACGGTGATTACAGAAACTCTTCCGAAGGTCGGTACACGAAATCTGCGCCGAAGAATACTAGCATGTTCTTCTGACGGGTCTGATATGTTCGTGACATTGTCAGGAAAACCACCGGACCCGTCACTGCCGACAAGGCTTTCGTCTATTGTCGAGCTGCTGGCTCGAAAAAAGTCACTAGTCTTTCTTTTTGTCGTGTCGTCCTGTCTTTTCATAGCTTCAATAACACTAGGCCTCAACCATTCTATTGCCTGTAGTAGGCTGTTGTTGAAAGGTAGCCTGAAAGAGAGGCTCGTTTCTCTTTGGATACAATTTGAGCAAAATGTATTGTGTCCATCATCAGGGCAATAGATAACATCCAACCATTTAAAGACTGCTAACGGGTCAGATTCATTCGAAACCTCACTTGCGTCAATTTGCGTTGTCGCTGACTGTATATCTATGTCTACGTCTGTTCCACTGAGATTGCGAAACATTTTGCCATATATTGAATTAGTTTTTGAGCGAAAAATATTCATAGTTCTAAAATTTGTCCTCGTTTTTTCGGGTTTGTAACTTTTTCTACAACTAGCTCTCTCTGCGAAACCTGCTTTTGTATTCTGTAGTTTAACAAAAAACTCTTCTACCATAGGAGTCCGAACCTCAATCCGGTCTGCAAAAACACGGACCGCATACTGAAATGGAACCTTACTGGCCATGTTATCTGCGTTGAACCTGTTAACATTAATACTTCCAAAACGGCTAGTCCTTTTACAGGTGGACTCATCTTTCGTCATGCGGCTTCCACATATGACACAGTTAGACTGATTTTGGTCGTAGGTATCCTCCACAACCTCCGTATCGAATTGACTCGTTGTATATGGTGACCCAGGCACCGATACATTTACAGGAGCGTTATGTAAGCGTCTTTGTTTACGGGCTGTTAACCCGATGAGAATATACAGCGTTATGATAGTTAGAGAGCATCCAAAATATAACAGTAGCAGAAATGCATAGTTGGCCATAGGCCATTTTGTTTTTTTGTATTTATCATCCGTGCTGCATGAATAGCCGACGATAACGCTGTGTGGTGTTTCTCTTGTTTCGGTTCCGTTTAGGAAGGCATGGGGAGTAGCGAATAATGCTCCTAGAGAAGTGATAACGGCGCCGATAGCTTTAGCGTTACGTGACGTGACCTGCCACTTGTGTGGGTGACACACTTTTCGATACCTGGGAAAGAGTTAGACATTTATACATTACAAAGTCAGTTGTGCATCCTTTTGAGAGTGTTCTTCAACAGATGGTCTGCGAAAGTCTCTTGGTTGTCCGCCTTCTCGTATCTTATAGTTACTGTTTGTCTAAATACGAGCTAGTTTTTTTCAAGTCCCCACTCTGGCTTTTGCCGGGGGCCCCTAAATATAATCAGGCCTTAAATATGCCCTAACGGCTGAACGCGGTTTCTGGGACCTCTCATCCTCATGGTTTCACTTTGTGTCACCGGGTGTTTATCGCTTGCGTGATGTCCTGATAGTGTACAACTTACCAACATAGCTACCTAAATCAACAGTCCCATCCATGTCAGTTGAAAAAAAAAGAAATCAAATGGATGTTTTTGCAGCGTTCTATCTATCAGAAACAATGCTCCACATGTGTAATCAGCTTATCTTACCTCAAAGCAGCTAACGCAAATGCACCTATTCCCCCCCCCCCCCCCCCACCAAATCCCAAATAGGCCTGTCATAGCTGTGTTTCCTTTAAAGTCGTCAAGCCTACACTCGACAAGGGAGCAAGAAAGTGAAGATAACACAGACAGACAGACAGACAGACAGACAGACAGACAGACAGACAGACAGACAGACGGACGGACGGACGGACGGACGGACGGACGGACGGACGGACGGACGGACGGACGGACGGCCGGCCGGCCGGCCGGCCAGACAGGCAGGCAGGCAGGCAGGCAGGCAGACAGACAGACAGACAGACAGACAGACAGACAGACAGACAGACAGACAGACAGACAGACAGACAGACAGACAGACAGACAGACAGACAGACAGACAGACAGACAGACAGGACAGACAGACAGACAGACAGACAGACAGACAGACAGACAGACAGACAGACAGACAGACAGACAGACAGACAGACAGACAGACAGACAGACAGACAGACAGACAGACAGACAGACAGACAGACAGACAGACAGACAGACAGACAGACAGACAGATAGATAGATAGATAGATAGATAGATAGATAGATAGATAGATAGATAGATAGATAGATAGATAGATAGATAGATAGATAGATAGATAGATAGATAGATAGATAGATAGATAGATAGATAGATAGATAGATAGATAGATAGATAAATAGATAGATAGATAGATAGATATGTAACCGTACGGCAACAGCTATTGATTTTAGTTTAATTTTACTTGAAAAAATCTGGCCACTGAGCATAAAAAGACTAGGGCAGGACAAAACCCGCAGGCGTTCGAGGAGACCTCGCTGAAAACAGCGGCTGCTGCACGATACATGTGCTCAGCAGCAAGGGTGACTGCGTGCGGATGGACGGTTAGTTAATGATGATGGTGGCACGTTTTTCTGTTAGCCCTGAATTTTTTTTTACTGTGTAGATATATCAGTTTGTATCATTGCTCGGGGATATTTGATTTAATGTGAATTGCCATTTGTGGTAGATAAGGTGCTCGGCACATGCGTGTGTGTAAAAAAGCAATGGCAATTGTTAATGTAATGTTATCTATGAAGAGGTCAGCTGTGTGATTCAGTAAAATAAACAGATGTTCTGTGTGATAATTATAGTTCCAGTTGTTTTAATTAGGGCTAGGACTGATATTTGGTGATGTTTAGTTTTACTTGTACTGCTGATTAGACGTTACACAAAACATAGCCTGTCTGGGCTAGAACGCTATGGTTTTAGTACCTGCCTAACGAATACTTTTTTTTTATTAACTTTTTTACTGCGGAAGCTTGACGTAGGTTGTTTTCACATGGGCCTCGACACAGTTGAAGCTCTTGCATTAGAGATTTGGAGTCGAGATAGTCTCAAGGGGTGTTAAAGAAGTAGATTTTGATATTATCCTTTATAGTGTCTCTCCCGTTCCTCTCATTCAAGATACCGCTTTAGGCTTTGATTCTAGTACAGACAGACAGACAGACAGACAGACAAGCAGGCAGGCAGGCAGGCGGGCGGGCGGGCGGGCGGGCGGGCGGGCGGGCGGGCGGGCGGGCGGGCGGGCGGGCGGGCGGGCGGGCGGGCGGGCGGGCGGGCGGGCGGGGCGGACGGACGGACGGACGGACGGACGGACGGACGGACGGACGGACGGACGGACGGACGGACGGACGGACGGACGGACGGACGGACGGACGGACGGACGGACGGACAGACAGACAGACAGACAGACAGACAGACAGACAGACAGACAGACAGACAGACAGACAGACAGACAGACAGACAGACAGACAGACAGACAGACAGACAGACAGACAGACAGACAGACAGACAGACAGACAGACAGACAGACAGACAGACAGACAGACAGACAGACAGACAGACAGACAGACAGACAGACAGACAGATAGATAGATAGATAGATAGATAGATAGATAGATAGATAGATAGATAGATAGATAGATAGATAGATAGATAGATAGATAGATAGATAGATAGATAGATAGATAGATAGATAGATAGATAGATAGATAGATAGATAGATAGATAGATAGATAGATAGATAGATAAGCTGACAGCAATAACAACGGAAAGGACAACTTGGCGCGATTTGGTTGAGGGCCTATAAGATGGAAATAAGGAATCAGAAGCGGTAGAAGGAGAAGATGATAGAAAGTGGTACCTACCTTACCACTGCCAGTGCAACCAAAATCATGGCTGCAGAGATAGTAGTAAAAGCTGCGCAGTACGTTCGAGCCTTGCATAAAGCAGGATTTTTGAAGTCCCATTTATGAAGCATGTTGTATATGTCCCCTAAAACAGATAATTTAGTCGTATTTAGGCACTGAGCTACATGTGGAGTTGCAGGCTGTGGCAAATATTTGGAAGCGGGAAAATTAACTATCTTACCATTGGTAGTCTGTCAACGAATAGCGACTCTGAAATTTAGCTAAGGGTTGAAGGGGCGGTAAATAAATGACTGCACAGGAGGAACCGCAAATCCCCAATTCCGGTCTGCGAAACGTCTACTACCCTGGGGGTGTCAGGGCCCCACTGAGGCGGGGCGGGGGGGGGGGGGTAGGCGTGGAGGGGGGAGGGAGAACAGGAATAGACCAACTGTTCTTAATGAGCATGTCGTAAAAGTCTTCGGTTACAGGGTCGCCCATTGGCTGACCTATAGACGGATTCGGTCGGGACAGTATTTGGGTCTCCTACGATCGCATCAACACTGCAACAGGGCTTCTTGGTGGCGAGCACATAAACCTAGTCATAATTATACCCAAAGCCCCCCGTGTGGGTTCCGGGGCCCCATTGTGGGGAAAACCAGAATAGAACCACTGCCTCCCCAAAAGCATGTCGTAAGAGTCGACTAATTGGGGAGCTTCCTTTGAAGTCGGAGTGCATCTGCCAGAGAGGCAAGGAACCAACAGTCTGTATTCAAGAGAATGAGATCTGTAAAACTGGTGCACACACAACACTCAGGTTCTGGAGCAGGACTGCAGTTCAGTAGTGGACCAGCAACCAGAACCTTCTGTCAGAGTTTACAGCTGGTGAATGCGAATAATAATAATACCCAAAGCTCCCCTTTCGGGGGTGCTGGCTGAAAAAAAAAAACGAATGATGTTTTTGTGTATGTGTGGCTCAAAGTCGGATCGTATCGACTTATTGTGGTGTTTCCTACAAAGGAGAAGTGAATCAATCTATGAGGCTAGGAACCAACAGTCTGCATTAAAAAAGCCAGACATTTAAAATGTATGCAAACCTCAAGTTGTAGAAGAAAACTAAAATGCTGAAGTGGATGAACAACCAAGTATTTCCGTATTAGTTTACAGCCAGGGAAAGCGACGGAGAAAAAAATTGCACTGAACTATAATCATTGACTACAAAGCTCAGAGTTTTGGACACAATGTTGACAGATGCAACTGAAAGCTTCTGTCGAAGTCAGTATCAACATTTTGTTCCTCTGGGTTCGCCCCTTTAAAAAGGATTAAAACGTTGTGTTGTGGTTTGCAGCTAGGCTATGTTCTTCTTTTTCTTTGTGTTCACTGGCATTAGCGGAATAATCAAATGGAGCTAAGTTCATATCCAACTAACAAATAGATACTAGTTTATATTAGTGTCACGGACTAGGGACACTGCTTTGACTGCCGTGGCTAAAATTACTAAAAGGAAAACACCTTTTCTTTGTTGATTTAATGGAAAGTTCTGACAGTACAGATGCAAAGAACACTGCTCTTTTGATCTGGCAGATTCTGTATCATGCTTTGTTTCAAACGTACTAGTTTTTCCTTTTCTTCAGAGTTAACAAAGCCGGCCAAGGGAAGGATCATTCTGGCTGTGCACCACACGGTCTCTACCGTACCGCCAAGGCTGTACGCTATGGAGAGAAGGAACTTAATCCCAGACTTCCGCTGGTATCATCACGTGCGGTGATTTCCATGCCTTCCTACAGGAAAATGGAACACGGACGTTTAAAAAAAACGGAAAAGGGGGCCAAAGACAACAACAGCAACATACCTCAGTAACAAAGACTTACCAGGAATGGCGAAGAGGTTTGCAAACAGATCAAGCCAGGCAATATTGATGATGAGGATTCCAGTTGCCGACCAGTGAAACTTGCGGAAATACACTAAAATCACCACAGAGTTTCCTATTAAACCAAACACGGCTAAGATGATTAAATACACCAGCGCCGCCACCATCGTCTTTGTTGTCTCCCTTTGAAGCTCGTCCAGGTATCGACAACGCTCCTCTTCAGAGACTGGGTTGGAAAAGTTAGTGTTTTCGGCACCGTTAGTGTGTAAATCATCACTCTTGTGAGGATGTCTAAATATTCCGGGTTCTGGTGATACCCCCAGCGCTCCAATAACAAATGATATTAGGACTGACGCCTCCAAATCACTGGACATTTTGGCTTGTTTGACAGTTTAGAGTAAGCTTCAACTGCTTTCACTATCTTTTGACAAAATATCAGGACAGGTACATTGGCGCTGGAAAAGAGAGGTTTTGTTTCTTTCTGTTAACTTTGGTGAAGCAACGTGGACATTGGCAACTATGAACCTCTTTTAACTACAGTGAAAAGGCGAAAAATGTAATGGAATGGACATGTAATAAGATCTAACGGTCTCTCAAAAACAATAATGCAGGGCTCAGTAGACGGAAAGAGAAGAAGAGGCAGACCAAGAAAGACATGGTTGCAGAACCTGACTGACTGGACAGGCCTCATGCATGCAACCGTGAAGTCCATCGCAGCTGACCGCCAAAGGTGGAGAGCGCTGATCAGACAGTCAACAGAAACTGGTGACCCAACGACACGGGATAATGATGATGAAGTAACATGTCTTGGTTGGTAACTGTAACAAAGAATTGAGACCACAAAATTTCCCAGTTCAAGATTTATGTGACTCATACAGCCATCATACTGGTTGTGTAGATTAACTTTACTCTTAGAAACGCAACGCGTCAACAACAAGAAAGTCAAAGCAACGTTTTCCCGTGGTGAATTTGAACAAAGAAGACATAAATAATAGATTGCCCAATTTATTGCCTGGTATATTTCGATTTATGCCCTGATGAAACAAATAGTTTTTAAATGTGGAAGATTTTGTGTTCAATTCGAACGATTCATTTATTTGTTTCGTTTTAATCAATGCTACTGTAGTATGCATTTATCTAGAAACACAGCGACATATAAAAGTAAAGGACCCTTTTCTACGACTTAAGGCTATGGGGCACATAGGGCTAGACCTAAATTTTATAGACCAATCGGCACAAGATGGGTGATGTGGTCAGCAATTTCCCTCTTCACATAACATGGCCGAAAAATGATGACTGTCTCCTTCTTATGTCTGTGATAAGTTGTCTTTGGGCTCCCGCCTCTTTTAAAACATCTTTTCGCTCTTTTTGGCTGTCCAAGGTACTCTAAGCATTCTTCTGTAAAACAGCATCTCTAAGGCTCAAGAAATTGTTTGGTCTGCTTAACGATTGTCCAAGACTCACAGCATATACACCACAATTAACAAATAAGTCATTTGCAGAGTGTCGCTTTTATCCCTGCACGCCGGAAAGTCTCCCTTTCTACAGCCAGTTCTGCTGCCTTCTGTGGCTTTATAGCCAGTTCTTCTTTAATGTCCTGTTTCCACTCTAACGAAAGTCTGTCTCTCCATATTGCCATGACGTGTATCATGACCTTAATACCTCAGTTGTCGAGACAGGATGCTTTTTATGAGCCAATTCTCCCTGATGTTCAGATCATAATTGTATACTTGAAAAAATCTGAATGTGTTAAAAGTGTTCAACATGATAACCCGTATACGTGGTACTTATTACCCCTATATATTTGGTTCCGGCGCCCTTGTCCCCTTGTGAGGGGCGGGGGCAGGGGGGGGGGGCGTTCATTGACAATAGAGTGATCTGGCATCTACTGACAACAAAACAGTGTAATGACATTACATCTGCTGGGATTAAAGCAATGTTGAAAGTAAGAGACGATGACATCACAATTATTTCTAAGCAATTATTCCTACGAGGATGTAAATACTAGTATCATTATCCTGGAAAACAAGATCGGATCTCAAATTCGCTTTGTACTCTTTTCAAGGTATATATATTATTCATTTACATAAAAAAATAAAGGTCGCTAACTGTATTTATGTTACTCTTTTTTATTTGCTTATAACATTGTAATTCAACACGTTCATTGTGTTTTAAGAAACAAAAATGTGGGTGACTAGTCAAGCTAATGCCAAGGAATTCATCACAATTACCAGTGAAGGAAAAGCTTAACGAAATGAGGAGGCAGAACAACGTGCAGAAAACAACACAGTTGGACGTTTCGGTATAACAAGGAGGAGAGAACTCCAGCCACTAAGGGGTCTAGTAATAATTTTTTTTTTTTTTAAAAGGTTGTGAAATGAATTAAATGAAATAAAGGAAGACTCAGAAAGTAGTTGTAAAAATGTAAGGGTGATAATATATAACATAATATAAGGTAAGTAAAGTAAAGGACCCTTTCCACGCGTTTATGCGTATAGGGCATATAGGGCTAAACCTATATTTTTATAGACCAGTCGGCACAAGATGGGTGATGTGGTCAGCATCACGTCGGCCGCCTTTACTCTCCCGGGACTGCACCCGGTAACCACTCAATGCTGGGTCGACCCGGGAGCCAAGGTAATTTTTTTTAAAGTCTGGCTCCGCCATGGAGCGAACCCACGATCTTCCGATCCGCGGCTAGCGTCTAGCCGCTCGGCCAAGGTGACTCTCATAACATAATAGTAGGAACAAAAAAGAAGCAAAAATAAAAATGGTATGATCCATAAATGGTACCGATAAGACACAGAATAAAGTAATAATATGAAATTTAAAAAAATAAGATAAGCATAAAAATAATACCACAAACTAAGACAATGGGTATAGGCATACAAATAATAAAATAAACTGAGACAATAATGTTTTTTTTTTTTTTTTTTTTTTTTTTTTTGGTTGTTGCATTATTATTGTTATTATTATTATTTTGCTTATTTAATTTTATTTTAGGGATTTTTTTTAAAGGCCTTCCTTTTTTTTTTTTTTTTTTTTTTTTGATTTGATTCCTTCCACATCACAATTTTTTTTTAAATAGTTTCTCACTTGACCCTTTAGTGGTTGGAATACTCTCCCCTAATATAGCCGTTTTGTTCAGTTGACGTAGAGAAAAAGGCCCTGCGCCGAAACGTCCATCTGTGTAGTTTTGTCCACGTTATTCTGTTTCCCTGTTTCGTTAAGCTTTCCAGTCCCTGTTCATTGGATTATTGCTTCAATGGACGTATGAAACGTGTCCGTCTGACTTACGATTTTTTAACTAGGGTCTAGATGTGAGGTAGAGCTGAGAAAGAAGCATCCAAATCCCAACGAGATGAAGACAGAGATGAAATAACAAACCTGAGAGCTATCATGCAGGCAACTCTTGAAACACAGAAGCAAATGGAAACAGACGAAATTCAAGGAGGACATCATGACTGCACTCACTACTATCCAGACACAGAAGGAACAGTCAACTAAAGCAAGGAAGGGCGAGACAAGTATCACTGATTTGCGGGAGACCCAACATCTTCTCGCGAAAAAAGTCACAATGATCAAGAAAGCCCTTGCTGAAACAGAGGAAAAGTTGCGCAGAGCATACGAAGAAAACAACAGATTAAGCAAGGAACTACAAGCAGCCAACAAAGTTATGGAGGAAAGAGAGAAAGCACGAAAAGAAGCAGCAAGAAGACAGCAAATACAGTCACCCAAGCCTCAGGGAGCCGAGACCCAGAAAAAGCCATATCAGTTACCAGACAAGAAAATACCGACGCCGCTGATAGGACAGTTTCCGGAGAAACCACTATACAAATAAACCAACGCATTAGGGAGCTGGAGGATCTAAACTACTTTAACAAAGAATTGCAAGAGGATAATGTACCATGGTCATCACCAGAAGAACCGACCCGACCGCCAAAACCTGAAGTCAAACGAGGTCGATACCGTTACCACAAACATTAATACCAGAGATGACACCACCAGCGCCAAAACTACCTAAACGTAATGTAGGAGAAGCACTTTACATCAAGGATACGAGAAGATCACCGAAATAACACCAGACACCACCATTATTTCCTTCAGTACCTGCCCAAAGCAAGCAACTACCGGTCCTTCTTAGGATAGGCAATCCCCTCTCCTCGGAAACAGCAAACGGCCAATGAAATCCACACAAAATCGACTCAACATCCAATGATCCGGAGCGCAGAAGAAGGCCAGCCAGATACGAAAGCAGACATTCGAGCGGAAAACCACAACAAATACAAAGCGACAAATACTGAAAACACAATCCAAAACCAAATGAGATCAACACGTCAACACAAATATAGCAGACAGGAAAGAGAGCAGCAATATGATCTGACCTAGCTGAAAGTGGTCAACGTAAGAGAATTAGAGGTAGAGCTTATATTATGAGCAATCTGAACAATCACATCAGAGCTTTTTTCTAGTTAGGTCTAATCTATCTATCTATCTATCTATCTATCTATCTATCTATCTATCTATCTATCTATCTATCTATCTATCTATCTATCTATCTATCTATCTATCTATCTATCTATCTATCTATCTATCTATCTATCTATCTATCTATCTATCTATCTATCTATCTATCTATCTATCTATCTATCTATCTAATCTGTCTGTCTGTTTATCGGTCGGTCAGTCTATCTATCTATCTATCTATCTATCTATCTATCTATCTATCTATCTATCTATCTATCTATCTATCTATCTATCTATCTATCTATCTATCTATCTATCTATCTATCTATCTATCTATCTATCTATCTATCTATCTATCTATCTATCTATCTATCTATCTATCTATCTATCTATTTAATCTGTCTGTCTGTTTATCGGTCGGTCAGTCTATCTATCTATCTATCTATCTATCTATCTATCTATCTATCTATCTATCTATCTATCTATCTATCTATCTATCTATCTATCTATCTATCTATCTATCTATCTATCTATCTATCTATCTATCTATCTATCTATCTATCTATCTATCTATCTATCTATCTATCTATCTATCTATCTATCTATCTATCTATCTATCTATCTATCTATCTATCTATCTATCTATCTATCTATCTATCTATCTATCTATCTATCTATCTATCTATTTAATCTGTCTGTCTGTTTATCGGTCGGTCAGTCTGTCTGTCGGTCGGTCTTTCTGTCGGTCTGTCGTGCTGTCTAATCTATCTATCTATCTATCTATCTATCTATCTATCTATCTATCTATCTATCTATCTATCTATCTATCTATCTATCTATCTATCTATCTATCTATCTATCTATCTATCTATCTATCTATCTATCTATCTATCTATCTATCTATCTA